ATATATATATATATATATATATATATATATATATATATATATATATATATTGGAAATTGATGGTGAAACGAATCTCGTCATTTAATTCGAAAAAAAAAAAAATAAACCGGACAATTTGCGATAAGAGACGTTCTATTCTGACCAATGATAGATTAAAACGACAATTGAATCGGCAATAAGGAGTGACGTTACAGCCTAGCCTACAGTTCAAACTTCATGGCGTCTTGTTCGTAGCGGATTCCCCTCGCGTTGAGGCAAAAGAGCGCAGTTGTTAGCGTTCGCCATAACCCTCTCCCTCTCCCTCCTTTCTTCTCTATTTCGCCCGGAAGCGTTCATCGAAACGCTAAACGCGAAGGCAATATCGGGGAGGAGCAGGAGCCGAGCGAGGCTCAAAGCAGGAGATCGTCGCGTTCTCAAAGCGAAAGAATGTTTCCTCGAGGAATTCGAATTTTCTCCCGGATCCACTGCGTTACATTTTAAAGCAGTTCCCCGTGTCCATTGCAAATTCTGGAAAGTCGAAAAGGAAAAGAGAAGAGATTGATGAGAGTGGAGGAAAGAGAAGGAAAGGGGAGGAATCGTTAAATAAAAATCTGGACGGGACGAAATCGAAACGAGGGGCTAAGTAACTTTGACAATACTCGTTCATTTCCAACCTGCCCCACACCTGCGCCCTGTTTTTTCCCCCAAGAACAATTCCCCGTTTTTGCCATTCTCCTCGCACGCACGTCGTATAATACTTTTTATCGCCAAGAAACGCTTTATATTTTATATCCAATCAGGGCCACGGTCACAGTTAGCTGCCATGTTAGCTCGAGCCTTTCACGCGTCGGGGATAACGTAAATGGATATTCCATTTTTTCTTTCCTCTCTCTTTCTCTCTCTCTCTCCTTCTCTTCCTTTTTTACCCCCTTGTCTTCCCCTCTTTTTCTTCTCGTCCTCGCCTCTTTTTCTTTTTTTTTGTATTTTCGCTCTCGCGTGTACGACTCGGCGAAGGTGAGACGAATGGCGAGTCGAAGAATGCCGGGACAAAAGGAGGCCAGCAGCGTAACACGCGTGACTCGTTCGGGCTCACGGTTGGTACGAGGTTGGCTCGGTCGCTCCGCGTCGCTGGTAAATTAAATTCTAATAAAGCTCGCCGAAACGGGTATGGAAAAAAGTGGGCAACTGTAGTGGTTCGGCGGGGAACAATGGGTATGGAAGGCGTCGCGACCACGGCGAACCGCGGATAATTATATCGAGGCGGCGACGACCAGGAATTCGCGCAGAAAAACTTGTCTTCGTGGCATGGGCCCTGGCACGGGCTCGATGGACTAACTAACTCTCGGCTGGTGTTGGTTCGCTCGGTTTGTGCGCGCCGCTTTCGACGTAAAAAAAAGGAAAAAGGGGGAAAAAGTGGCGATCGGTGAAAAAGAGGGCGCGACGAATAGTTTCGTTCCTCCTGTTTCTCTGTGGATTTCGCCTCGGTGGCCAGGAGGGGGTGTCCCTTGCCTCGTTCGGAAGCTTTGATATCTTTCTGCGCCCGGGAATAGGACCCGGGGCAAGAAACGGAATAAGACGGCGATTCCATGTTATTAATGACAGGTTCGAACCTGGTGGATGGAGTGAGAAACGTGCGAAACGAGAAAGAGAATCGGTGATTCTTTTCTGCTGTTTCGTTAAAATTTATTCCTCTCGCGCGAGAATCTTGAAAACTTTCGAAACTCGGTTTTAGGAATTTGGAAAGAAATCGTTCTATCTATTTTTCGATGATAGAAAATTTTATCTTTTTATTTATCCATATCGCATTCGTTAATTCGAAATATCGAAATATAAGGTTGACGTATCGGAATTACGGTTGCAACACGATTGTGTAATTTATAAAATTGCGAACGACATTTGAAGCTAGCTTGGATGAATCGATACAAAATATGGAACGAGCCGTGTAAAGGTTAAAAGGGATTGGGGAAATACGATCGAGATATTTGATTTTATTCTCCTTTGTAGATACAACGTCGTTCTTACCATTCGATCGGGCGGAAGTTTAACGAAACGTTATTACCGTTTCCAGGACCGACACGTGAAGAATTCGAGCAAGGATCCCCAGATGGACTCGAGCCAAGACTACTGCCTTCTACTGGGTTACGAGAACAAGACGCACACCGTTTTACGTTTCAGCAGGCGATACGATACGTGCGACCCCCGGGACCTCAAGATCACGGTAGGTTGTTTGATTTATACGACTTCCGGCGTGAAAGATAATTCCTCGGTGGCGCGAAGTGCTCGCCCGAGGAATCGTTTGATGGATTTATGAGAAAAATTGAGCGGCGCAGCATGCTGCTGCTAGCCAGAGAGCGGGAGAATTATTTATCGCGGTTCTTCGCGAAATTGAGCAGCTCCCTATATACCATCCACCTTAAATAATTAATCCGCATCCCGACGCTCGTATATACATCACGATTGAATTTATTTATTTAATTTCGCCATGTCTGCAAAATTACCGGCAATTTCGAAACTGTCTCGCGTAATTCTATCCGCCGAGTCACCGAGTTTTTGCAAAAACATGATCGAAAATCCGATAATCGATCGACCTAACCTAACATCTGTGTGTATTTCATTTTAAATTTAATCGTTCCGACTGATTCTCGATTTTTCTTTTTTCTTTTTCTTTTTTTTTTTTTTTTCCTTTATACATTAGCATTTAAAATCGTTGCTTCTATTTTCCGTTTCACGAACGCTTCACGATAAAGATAGACTCTTGTTTGGAAATGTAATTCGATTCGAGTGAAATTTTGCAGACAAGTGTCTTCAAAAAAGAAAACGGGATTTAAATTTTCAACCCTTCAACCCTTTCAAACTCGTCCTCAAAACTTTTATTCCAAATCCCATCCCAAAATGAAGGAACGAACGCGTCCCTAAATTTCGTAATCGTTTCAAACTTCCTCGCCGAAAAATAAAACTTAAATTCAAAAACGCATTATCCTATTTCTTATTTGTTCGAAGTTTCAACCCCAACACAATCGATTCGAATTATCCGCGGAAAAGGGATTAAACAGCGAGGGCCAGCCACGATACGCAGGAACCACGAGTAGGGAATCGTGGAAATACGAGCGCGATTCATTACACGTCGCAATTAACGTTAATTAACCGGCATTACGGGGTGGGAGGGGAGCAGAAGGGAAAGCGCGAGGAATTTCACGGCCGGCTAACGAGAGCGTAAGTGGGAAAGTCGTGGGCAGTTTGGAGGAATCGTTAGTGAGGGGTGAAGGTATTAACATAGGCCGGGGAAAAGACTCAAAGACTCGTTATCAGTGTTCGTTCTAGCCGTGGATTCCGCGGCTAGGTAGGACAGGCCGACCCAGTTCTTTATTTCGCCTGTTAATTAACTCGGAGATAGATCGAGGGCCACGATAGAGCCGTCCGTTCGGTTGGTACCGCGGTTTTTAACCAGGAGGGAAGAGATAATACGCGAGCATTTGTTGCGTTTTCTTCTGTGCTGGCCTCCGTGCAATTTATGAAACGGAAACAGGGCACGGAAACAAGAAGAAGAAGGGTTTTGGTCGTCATTGATATGCAGCTATTTTCTAATGGACACGTAGAGTTATGGTAACCTGTTGACTGAAGGTAAGGATCGTACTATTCGTTACGCAAAGAATAGGGAATTAATCGAGGCAAGCCACGAACGAATAATTCTAAATGATTCGAGCGGAAGAACGCGGTTGGGTCAAAAAGTTTTTTACAACTGTTCTAACTTTACAGAGAGATTTGTCTGTGACGAGGTGAGATTTTGAGTAGCATTGCTTGAAAATAGTTTAACATTTAATTGTGCGAAGAATGATTGACAAAAGGATTTGAAGATTTTAAAAACAATAGAATAATGGGATTAAGAATGACGGTTCGATTGTTTATGAAAATAGAAGGCAGAAATTAATCGTATCTTCCCTAAAGTTTGTCAGGTTATCGAAAATAGAAAAAAAAACACTACGATCTTTCGAAACTTCAACTTCTGCTTCCAAAGAATCCGAACACGATACGAAAATTAACTTAGCCCAAACAAAATTTATGTATATACAGTCTCTAGACTTAACTGTTATCCTACAAAAGTCTGTCGAGCGTTTTAATCCCTCTTCCCAGCGATCTCTCTTTCCTCTTTCGTTTAAGGATCAGTAACGGGAATCGAGAAATCGAATAATTGATCGTTTCTCTTCGTTTACGCCTTCGCGCGTATAAACGAGAAAGAGAGAGAGAGAGAGAGAGAGAGAGACTCGTGAAACCCGAGGCGGCCGTCGTAAAACAATCACGAACTTTCGAAATAATTACACGGTTTACGTTTTGCCGTGGCGTTTCGAGATTCGTCGATATTAACGGATTGCACGGCGAACGATGAATATTCGTGTTCTGTGTACGCGTAAATAATTGACGCGTGGCGCGCAAATATTGGCGGGGATACGAAGTTGAAGGGAAACGTTGGCGGACCGGTTCTCACCGTGGAATTTACCTGGATGAGCGAGTGATTCGCAAGACGCGCGAAATAGGATTGCTTTGTCCAAAGAGTAATTACACGTCGCGGGGAATGGAAACGCGTTGACGTTCATTATTCCAGCGAGAAAAATTTAATTTAATTTATCTCAAATGGAGGGAGGATTAAAGCTCTTTTGTTGGTGCTACAATACAATCGTAATAATTTAAACACGTTATTTTTACGATTTATTCACGATTATTTTACGTTATTAATTAAACGATTTAAGTAGGTTGGTCCATCATTCTCGCATCTAACGATCGAATAGTACTAATTTCCAATCCGAAGACTTTTAAGATCTAATTAAAATAAAATATATATTAAAAAAAAGAAAAAAAAAAAAAAGAAAAACAGAAAGAAAGAAAAGAATCGTAGCTCAAAGGGGCGTACTTTCATCGTAGTACGAAGACGAATCGGAACAATTTGTAAAGAATTCTATTCTGAGATGTGAACCATCCATCCATCCATTCACCGATCCCCTCGAAAGTCTACATTATGCAGATGAAGATTTCAGAATTTCGTTGTCGCCCGGTCCGATCTCCTTCACGTATACACTCTAAGCAGGATTTAGAAGAAAGAGCTCAGGGTGCTAGCACCACTCTCTGATCTCGATCTCGAGAATCCGTAGCAGAAAACTGAACACGTTGGATGCACCGAACGTTCCCAAGGAATGTCCGTCTAGCAGTTGAGTCATCAAAATGGCCGGGTGCAAAAATAAAGCGAGCCACCGCGAGTCGAGATTGTATCTGAATGGGAGGAGGGGACGACGAACGACGAAGTCAGCTCCCCTTTTCCTTTTATCTGATCGCGTGACGTATCGGTGTACCCTACATGATATTTTTACGTGTCACGTTCACAGTGGCCTAAGCCTCGAGAGTCGTGGCTTCCCGCGAATGTGTATTACGGCCGAATCCGTAGGTGGACCGTAAGAGATACCTTGAACGAGGTTTGTACAGGGTTATCGGCGATCAGAGTCAACAGGCGAAACGTAGCCAAGCCTCTTTGTCTCGTGATAAAAGTTACGGTTGAGGGAATCGTGCTACCATCTGTGAAAGGACGAGCTCTTTGAATAAATAGATTGAAAAACGGTGCGCTTTCATCGGCGTGGTGAAAAAGTCACGGCGGTTATTTAATATTAATCTCGATCGAACGCCAAGTTCTTCAACACGTGGCCTAACGAGCAGAGTTTAAAAATGAATGCAAGTATCTCTATTTGTAGATATTTCTCCTCGCGTTCTTTTCTCGCGTTTCGTGGATTTTTAATCTGCGAATCGATCAAAGCGATTTCTAAACGTTCTTGATTAATTATTTATGTCAATTCGAACGGAAACGATGATTTTAAGGATTAAGATTTTTAAAGACAGAAAAGCAACATCTCTTAATTATCAAATTTACACGAGAACGTGAGATGTAGAGAAAAATATAGAGGATACATTACACGTGTCTGAATTGGTAATTCAACTAATGTACCATTTGTAACCAGTGAAACAATATTTGTCACCGCTAAGAAGATTAAACACTAACTCTAAACATTCCAACTCCAACGTCTTCTCGCCTAGCAAATCCCCAAACTCAACTCCCTTAACCAACGACGTAGCCGCCAAATGTCACCAGAAATTCACACCATCGTCAAACAACGATCAAACAGTACGTCGTAAAACAACTCAACTCGTTTCAATAAATAAATAACTCGACGCCTGAAAGAAAATTTAAATATTCTCTGTCAAATTATCGATGCAAGTATAACGCTTTTGCAAATTGGCAGCCCAGGAGCAGCACAGTTCCGGAACGGGACCTCGAACCATTGTTATTTCTACCGGCAGGCCACGGCGGATTAATCGAATGAACATCAAATTAAGCGATGCTCCGCCATAACCGGCTTACACGGAAGAGGGCTTCGATTGCATATTAATATCGCGCGGTTGGCCTCGTCCTTCCTTTGATATTCACGGGCCTCATCACCGCCTCTGAAATTAAACTCGGCTGCGTCGTAGACGACACGCACGTGACAAGGGGCGGCCAGGTCTTACCAGGTATGCGCCGATTCCAGGCGTGCGCGCTTGTAATTAGTTCATTAGCGGCCACGTGTGTATCCAATCTCGTGCGCGGTCATCACACGTGGCACTACGTTTCGACGTGCGCGTTCAAATGTGCATTTTTCATAATTAGGCTTGTTTCACACGACGTGTCCACCGAGTTATGCAAACCAGCAATTATTTCGTTATCAGCTGGATCCGTCGCAAACGAACGAACCAGAGTTGTGATGCAGGGTGTGGGATACACAGATTGTCGAGCTCGCTATAGAAAGGGTAAATTGGATGGAAGGCAAGTTGTATTCGCGTAACGAATCGATCTATTTATTTTCTCTGGGCAAAGAAGTGTGCATAGGGAAACGAGAAACTCGGCCCAATTTCACTCACCCAGTTTCGGATAGTGAAAATAAACGGCGCATCCGATAAATTTTCGCGACAAGACGCGGCGGAGTCGGTGGTGAACTCTTGCGTCGGATGTCGGGTGCGATGGAGAGCGCAAAAGTTCCTCGACACGACGAGGATTCGCGGTCGATGCGATATTATGCAATCTGGACTTGCCAATCTGGATTCGACTCGTCGCTGATTCCTTGCCGAGATTCGTATATGCTTTTTCCACCAGGTATTCTCTTTCTCGAATGATATGCATCTTCTCGAATCGGGTAAAAATGGATGGAAATTAGATTATCCAAATTGGAGAGTTATCGAATCGAAGATGATTGAATTTTAACTTATTGACTTCAAAGTAATAATCTAAGTATGGATTAAAAGATTAGAAGAAAGTAAGTAAGACAGAATTAGAAATTGCTGTGACTTGTTAAATTATCGTGAGTGAAACGAACATAAGATGTAATGCAAATATGAATTTAAATACAAACAATTAACTATTAAATTAACTTTTTCCCAAGTATATCGATATAAAACAAGACTATATGAAAATAAATCAGAAAATACTCGAGTCTGACAAAAGACTAGAACCTTTATGTGAACTGATTCAAGGGAACAAAATCTAGGGAAAAAAAAACAGAGGAAGAGAGACAGAGAGAACGAATTCTCCTCGCCAGTTTGGAGGATATGCACACGCGAACATTACGGCAGGGAGATTGGTGCGCCTTGCAAAGGGGATTGGCTAGGTGACCTCGTTCTGCTTCTATTCCCTTCCTATCTGTACCCGTATCTAGTTTACCACTTCGCCCCCCTCCCTCCCCTACCTTCCTTCCCCCTCCCCCTAGGTTGACTAGTTGACTGGCCGGCCCTATAGTAGCCAACGCGAACTTCCTGAATAAGGTCCTCCCTCGGCACTAGAACTGATCGCTATTCCGAATGGTTCGGTACGATGTAAAAGGAAAATCGAATTTGACCGATGCCTTTGGGATCGAGGGGGAGGAGGGGAGGAGGAGAGGGGAGAGTGGCCAGGTGGGCCGACGATCTTATTGGGTTGGATCCTCCGCTACGTGGAGCGTCGTGGCGCCAGGGGTATTTCGCCGGAAGCTGGTATCCGCTACGACGGGAAATCGAATCAAGGAGATTCCGCGGGCCCTCAGGCGCCAGATTACGTGTACGTTTGGAGACAATTATCGTTTCAGAAATTCGATTGCTCGCGGGAGGAGATCGAATCTCTCCGCGGTTAATCCCGACCGATCGATCAACACATCGATGAGGGAGGATCCAAATTGAAAATCGAAAATTTCGTTTCGTTTCCGAGTGAGAAATACGTTTTCGTAAATTTTGACGAAAGAAATACACACTTTTTTACGTATACTCGAGCGAGTTCTATACTTGTGACGAACGAAGAAATTAAATCGGTTCCAAGTTGTAGCACCCTATGTAGAACCAATTACTTTCACGAGTTCCTTCTTTGCTCGATCGGTACGAAAGCCATCGATTTAATCGAGCGTAGGAACAAACGTGAGATCGTTTCCCCGAAGTTTCTCCCGAAAATGGGCGAGAATTTAAAGGAACGTTACCTTGGAGAGGGAGGAGGGGGGGACTTCCGGAGGCAACTTCCAATTACGCTGGTGCCCCGTTCTCCCTCTCCTCTAACTCGCGATCCTCCACCCGGTTGTCAACAACACGTTTGTTAAAAAAAAAGGGGCAGGCAGGCAGGCAGACGAGATTGAATGAAAAACCTGCCCACACCGCAGCTACACACAGACGTTGGCATACCTTGCCAACTAATGACAGTTCGAAGAAGTTGCTCCCCCTTCTCCATAAGTTTTCCAATCGGCCAAAAACTTGCGAACAGACATTTACCTAGAAGAATCCAGGCGGTACGAAGAGAGGCAGGGAGGGAGTCGTTTTGTTATCGACGCGGCGAAAGTAGATTTTCCGACGAGATGGCCACGATCAATCGTAGCCCTTTTCGACCCCATTCCAATCAACGTTCACCCCTCGACCACCGGTATCTCGTATCGAAACGACGCGATAAAGTTCGAACAGGAAGAGGGGCGGGGAAAGTTTCGAACCCCTTCTCTATTTATATATCACGTTTCGACGTTTCCAGTCATACGCACGTTCTACGCTTCTTGCACGCAATAGCGCGAGTTCTCTTCGATTTTCATTCCATTGAATTCGAATCGAAGATGGATCGCGACGAGAAAGGGAAGTGTAGAGTAATTGTGGATTGACTGGATCGACGTAATTATCGAATCGAAGGATTAAATTTAAATGGTCCGACTTTATTTTAACCCGAATGAGATTTGGAAGATTATTCGCCCGATTCGAAACGATTTTTCTTTTTTTTTTCCTTCGTCGCGTCTTTATCGCGTCGATCGAACAAGATTAAATTAAACGATAAGTGGATTATCGAAAATTGTATTGTATCTTCGGGATGTTCGATATATAGAAAAGTAGAACGGATGTGTAGAAATAAATATTGTCTGGTAGGTTATGCCATTTTAAATATTTTATTCAAAAGATTTCATACAGAAAACAATTTTTGACTCGACGTTACGATTAATATTATAATTCTATAATGTGTCGCGTAATAAAAAAAAAAAAAGGGAACGGAAAATACAGTTAATCAATACAGTTACAATTGGAAAACAAATATTTTATTGAATGTAAATATTAAATATACATTATTTGCGCATTAATTTACACATCGAACGAAATAGTAACTATTTTCAAATAGGATCCGCTTGTAGAGATGTTTGTTTTAAATTATTACCTCTAACATTTCCGACACAGGATAATCAGTTGAATCGTAACATATACCATTCGTACGTTTCCTAAACAAAAATTCTTCTCGTCCAATATTCATATTCGTTCGTCGAACTCGTCGAAAAAGAAGAAGCACATCGATCAAGCAGAGTTGCAAATTTTGTTTATGCAATCAGCCCCCGAGGAACGCCTATAAACATTCAGTTTGTGATTGTACGAGGAGTTGGCCATTAAACTCGTGTTTCGGATTACCTCTAATTCCTCGCAGGCGTCGAGTAGAGGGAGCGAGGATTAGTCGAAGATTAAGCTGTTGGACACGTTACTGGCCATGGCTGCTCGGCAGAAACTTGCCCAGGCTTTCCTTACGGAATTTCTCTCTCTCTCTCTCTCTCTCTCTTCTTCCTTTCGCGAGCTAAAAGTTATCGGCGCTCCACGCTTGAGGCTAAATTGGATAAGCATCGGCCCATACCTCTCGCCTCGATGCGACGAGACGAGATGAGGGCGAAATAGCGCGGAAGAGGTTGGAAGCTTTTTGAAAATTATTTTCCTTTTTTTCTTTTTTTCCTTTTTTCTCTTTTTTTTTTTTTTCTCTCCCAACAGATTCGTTACGAAATTACATCGCAATTTTATGTACAGGGATTTTAACCTTGGTTTTAACCGCATTCGAAAAGCTTTGTCGTGCGACGGATGTCAAGGATATCGTCATAGGATTTCCATTTTGAGATAAAAGCTCAGATCGACGATGAATGACGACACGCGTGATTTCGAAAACGATGATACACGTTGAAAGAGAAAAAAATAAGAACGGAAAGAGAGAGAAAGAAAAAACGAGGAAGAGAGTACTTTTCCCTGTACCACGCTAATTTCGTTTTACAAAAGAAAGTTCGGGTCAATGGGAAAATCTCGTTATCTTGGGAAAAAAAAAAATAACAGATCGAGAGAAAAGCTTTATATAGCTTCACTGCGGTAGATCAATATTCGACGGACATATTATAAGAATCCGCGTTCCAAATGTCTATCTAGGATACGAGATCCGTGACCTGGAAAAAAAAAATGTAAAGATTCACGAGACACTGACTATTATCATCGATTGACGTAGTCGTGAATATGGTGCAGCATAGGATATTTGATTGACTATTGAAAAAAAAGAAAAAAAAGAACGAAAAATCGCGTGTACTTCAAGTGAGGATAGAAAATGTAGAATTTCTTTTAAAATTTTATAGAATGTATTTCGTCGTTATCGTTTTTTTTTTTTTTCTTATCGATACATTAGACATTAGATATTATATAAATGACGCCAAATTTATCGAAGAGTTAGTCTAGTCAAAACTATTCTACGAGTAAGTAAGTTGGAGGAAAAGAAAAATATCTTATACAATGCTTTCCTTTCGTTACCTGTTTCTCTCTCTTCTCTTTTCTTCTCATCAATTTCATTTTATAATAGAAATTCAAAGAAAATTTAACCCTTTACGACGACATTTCTCTTCCGTTCTCAATTTTTCTCATTTCTCTTCTTACCAATTTTCTCGTAGACAAATTCGTAGAGACGAGGGGAAACAATTTTTTACAATATTTCCCTTTTTATTCCCCTCCTTTGTGTTTCTCTTCTTATCAATTGTTCCGCAAACAAATTCGAGGAAAACAATTTTTTACAACATTTCCCCTTCATTCTCCATTTTTATCATTTCTCTTCTCACCAATTTTTCTCTGTCAGCAAACACGAGGAAAACAATCGTCCCCTCTCTCCTCCTCCTCCTCCCCCCCCTTCTCTTTCCTTTTTTCATTCTTTTTATTTCTCTCTTTTTTCCCCTCCAAGCTTGATTTTTAAAAACGCGCTTTACGAATTCAATGAAAGGTGAAATCAATCCGTCGTCCGAGGGCGGAACGATCGACGGACAATCTCTCCGGGGGGCAGAGTTCGAGAGATAACGATCGGGCAGTCGTAAAATTGGATTAAAATCACGTCGTCAAAGCTTTTTGCAGGCTTCGGGCAGGTTTATAAGGGCGCGGCCATCCCCTCCATTGCTATTAAATCGTAGCAACGTATATTATGAAATCGGCCACGGAGCTTAACTGCTTACACCGAAGCTTAAATTAGGTGGCGCTCGCTCACAGCGTTGGAACAGCGTTAACCAATTTTATCGCTGCCGTTGGACATGTAAATTAGGTGAATACAAAATAAGCTAATGCAAAACGGAAGCGATTGTATTTAAAGGGGGTGGAAAAGGAAGAAAGAGACGGTCATGCGAATTTAAGCCGCGTTCTTACGAACCTCCACGCTCATCCCTGTATCTACGTAAGTACTAACCAATGTATCTTAATATGGAACTTGAATTACTTGAATTCTTCCAATAATAATCTTACAAACATTGCGATTTATAGTATTAGTTGAGAGACGTTTAATAATTGTTTTATAATTTTTACGAATTTTACACTTGAAATAATAAGCAAATATTCTGTGTTTGGAAAGGAAGAGTATTTGGTGAATTCTGTAAATTAGTGATCAATGGTTGATCCTTTTTCTGTGTCGAGTGGTGAGCCGGCGAATAACGCGGATTCGTAAAGTCAAGGGATTTAGAGAGTTCTATTAAAACGAAGATCGAGCAAAAGAATTATTGTTAAATTTTCAATGGCCTTCACGAGATATTGCCGTTGATTTTTAATATTATATCACGAACGATTATTAATTCCAACGGTGGAATCGAACGGTGATTAATTCGTCTGTCAAGAATAGAAATTAAAAATTAAGATAAGAAGAAAAATTAATCGAGGAATCTTCTGTTAATTTCAACAGAGTTGAATGGCAATTAATTAATTTCTCTCTGTCAAGTACCCTTTATCGGCTCCTCGCTTAAAAATGAATCAAACGAGGCGGAAAAGTTCTGAATAAAGTGATTATCTCCGCGATAATTCTTCCATAAGTAGAAGACCAATTAAAACCATCCAAAAAGAAAAAAAAAAAAAAACGAATTAGAAAACAGAGGAAATGAAATCTCTCTGTTTCGTTAAGTATCATCATTTAACAATCGCCTGATCCCTTATCTTCGTCATGCTTACACCATCCTCGTTCGAATATACAGAAATTTGCGGCGATAGTAAAGTATCCTTATCCCCTGGTTCTGCGTGTTCTTTATTGAAACACCGAACGGTGAGATTAAGCCAGGCTTATAACGATTATGCGTTATGCGGGTTTGCCGAGGAAACAATTTCCATTATCATTAATTGCGGTTTTATATGCAAAAATGTGGCGGCACCGACCCGGTTCCAAGCATAAAAAGGAAACGAGACGAAGGGGTGGGATGGAGAAAAATGGAGGGGAGGGAGAGGGAAGAGAGGGAACACATCTCACGCAATGCACAAGCGACATTAATCTTTCAGAGGTTGACGGGGTTGTCATAGGTTTGCCGATCGAGATCGCCGCCCATCCATTAATAAAACTCGATCCAACGAATGATTTCACTTGTAGACCTCCATTGGCGTGTACACATCGCCACGTTACATCAAAAGCCGCATGCGGAAGTTTATAGTTGGTAACGAGGTTTACTTCGATTCGTGAGCGAAATATGATTGTGATTTATGAACTGGAAAAATAATCGAAAGCAATTACACTTTCCTTCTTCGAAGCGTGAAACGAAACTTTTTTGTTCGGGATTTCTTTTTATTTCGAGTTAAACGTTTTATGGGAAAGAAAAAAAAAAAACGTTTTTTGCTTTGTTCTTTCTCATTGATCTTAATAATGAGCTTGAAATATATTGTTAAAGATATTTTAAAAAACAATTATTCCTTTGAATATAAGTCACGATTGGCTATAGTTTTCGAGTTATTCGCAAAATATTTTTTGCTGGTTGGAATTTTGATTATATTGTATGAGTGTACGCTCATAAGAGTCAGTATCAAAGGCAGTAGAGTGGAGAGTAGCCGATACATAAAAAGGTGAGTTTGAAAAAATAATATATATTTCTTTATAAATTTGAATAGAGTCTTTAATGATTTTTTTTTTTTGCAGATATATACGATGGGAAAATAAATAGATGGCAAATGCGAGATTCATCGCTGTTATTATAACTATAATCATTCAAAATTTGTTTTATACAGAGTGAATTACATTAACTTTATTACTTGGAATATCTTGTTTCTTATAAAGATATTAAAAATATGCTTTATAGCATAGTATTTTCTATAAAAAAAGAAGCAACTTTTTTTTGTGAAAAGTAATTATAGAAAAGATAAGTATGTAGAATTAAGAAAAATTATACACAAAAATAAGATGGCGATTACATAAGGTAAGTATACAAAAATTCATAAAAAAAAAATCTATATTTTTCAATTTTTCATAAAAATTCAATGCACATCTGATTACATTCTTTTTATAGAAAATCCAAAAATCGGACAAAAATTTCATTTCAATGTACTCCAAGGTAACGAAAAATTTGATGTCATTTTCAAGAAGTGCCAAAATTCCTTGAAAAATTTCTCGAATGACTTCCTATCAAATTATATTCTTTTATACAAAATCACAAATTTTAGACAGAAGCATTAAAAAAACGACCCAGGCTATTGTATAGCAAACGCAAGTCCACTCTTCACAACTAGGAAGGAAGTTATGTTAAAAATAAAAACGTAAGCATCAATAGTATTTTTTTATACTTATTATATTCACCTGAAATAAAATTCATCATTTTTAATGAAAAATTGTATTTTATAGATGATACATTTTATTTTTATATAAAATAAAAAGCAAAATTGTAAATTTTATAGAATAACATAATTATATGTATATACTTTTTACTAATAAATTTTATATTCTATAAATATTTAGTTTTATATTATATTTCACATTACCATCATCCTTCCATAATCCCATACAATATCATAATTTTAGATATTAAAAATACTTCTACATTTTTATACTAATTAATATCACAAATTAGAAATAAGAGAACTATTAAAAAATCCACAAAAAGGAAAAGCAAGGATGTAGGTAAGTATTCCACTTATTTAAAAAATTCGACAATTAAAAGGAACTTGATATCATTTACATAATAATTTTAGAAATTCCAAAAATTTCTGGTGCCACCTCTTTG